ATACACCCGCGGAGTTCTTCTGAAATAAAGTCTCCTCGAACAAAATGCAACCCGATATGTACTGGCCCAACCCCTCCGTCGTGAACAACAAATCACGGTATGCCGCACGGTTGCTCTCGTCGTTCTTCACCTTTATGCTGTCAAAACGCTTCTGAATGGTGCCTGTGAAAAACACAAAACACTACATGCTGCGACCTACATGTCCGCATGCATACATACGCGCTTTCCTTCAGCCAATGTGCATGTGGCCATGCATGCATGCACACGGGCAGAAACAACTGCAAGAGAGTTTGGTACTGGGCGCGTGCACGCCTTCGTTTCCAGCAGGCAAAGCCTTTCCCTTTCCCCCCTTCTTGCCAGACCAAAGCAAGCTGCATTATCTTCGTATGAATTACACTTAGTTACTTCACTGGGAGATAGTGCAAAAAGTACTGAAATACGCCCATACTCTGAATACGGGAAGAGGCGCACCTGTCGATTCATCAGCAGCCAGGATGCCTTTGCCGGGGGCGGCTATGGCCTTGGCGGTGGCGGCCAATTCCTTCGCGATATCTTGTGGCAGTTCCTGCGGCGAACAAAACCCCAAAAAGTTGAACAGCAAATGGGCTCAGAACACCCCTTATTTTGTGAGGTCACTTCAGGAAACCTGGGAGAGGCGGGCGGCTCTGTGAAGCGAAAAATATGAGTTAAGAGTTGTATTTCCATGAAATAATTCCACTAAAATTAAAATTTAGTCAAAGCGTTCTAAGTTTCAATCAAATATGCGCCGCATACACAACGGCGCGTCGATGCAACGCTGGCGGCTGTGCCTTACCATTTTGGGTTATGGCAGGAAGCGGAGTAGAAGGAAAAGAAAAAAGCGAAAGAAAGGGGAGAAGAGAAAGCAAGAATTTCAGAATTTATGAATTAAGACAGAAAAAATATAGAAATGCTGAATGTGCATTTCTAGCTACAAGTCCTTCGGTTGACGCACCGCCGCATTACCGCTGCTGTTGCACTTTGCATTGAGTCTACAGTGGGGGTGCGCCTTAGAGATTAACTGAAGGCATAATGCAGAATTACTATTAAAAATAAAGAATTTAGATAAGTCTTTGTATTAATATTGCATTTATCTCGTTTTTTGCATCCCTGTAATAACCCATGCTCAGCATCACCGCGCTTGGGGCTTCTGTCTTCTTACGCCGAGACCTAGTGGGCTGTGTTGCCTGCCGGGTTTATTACTATTACGGTTTCATTGACGTTATTTCACTAAAAGTAAATTCAAGTATATGCAACGCGAAGAAAAAATTAGTGAATTGATGTTGTTCTCAGTCGGGAATTAGGGTGGCGCGGCCAACACCGGTACACATAAGCGGCAGCGCCTGCCTCTGTGTTCTGTATTTCAACATTTTGTCAAGAATGCTGCTCAACAATTACACTTTTTATTGAATTGAACAGATATGATACCAACTCGGACGGCTGCTCCAGAGAAGCAGACCACCAGCAAGCGCTGACCGCGCTCGTGCGCATGCAGCACAATAACATGTCTGCCCTGTTCATTTCTCCTCTTACTACGATCGTCTCCTGCAAATGCATAGACAGGAGCCAGTAGATGCAAGTAATCTAGCAGCTGATGCATGCGCTCCACAGCAACAGCATGAACGTCTGCAGCAGCAGCAGCCGCAGGGGCATGCGCAGCAGCAGCAACCGCCGCAGCAGCAACAACAACAAGAACAGCAACAGCAACAACAGCAGCAGAAGCAACAGCAGCAGCAACAGCAGCAAGTAGCTCAGGCGCGCCCCCCGGCTCTGGCCTTCACACACCCGAAGGCGGGCTCGATGGTCATAGCTTCCTTGCGGCAGCAGGCGAACCCAATCATTAAGTGAGGAGTTTTAGTTTAAAGAGGTTTTCCTTCTATCTCAGATCATCTCTCTGTTTATGCAGTGCATATGAGTCAAGACAGAGCATCAGTTCAACTGGAATAGCTGCAGTTGCTGCAG